TAAGACCGATGCGAGGTCGAAACTGCAGTCCACCCTGGATGATAACAACTTTTGGGAAAACAAGGCTATGTTAAATTCAATGTAAACGTCAGCTCTACTCATATCATTATGGGGTAATTCTTTTACCAGTCCTTCATCACCTTAAACGAAATTTAGTGAATACATCTCATAATTGATCTCTGTTTGAAAATGTATTCTTCAGTTAAGGAATATTATTCTTAATAAGGCCCAAAGGATAATTATTTCCAAGAATAAACTTGTCAGATATTCTAAGTCCTTAATTTAATGATTGCTATTTGCTAGTCTCATATTCTTAATAGTCATTGGCTTCAATGTTACAATCTTACTTTTGTTACTATGGTTGAAAATAAAATTTGGCAAAGAGCTAAACATTTCTTCCTAACTGACTCTCTTTTCTAATGATTCAAACACCCAGAACTGGTATGGACTTATTCACTTGCCCTGAACATAATATTCCTTTGACGTTGGTTAAGTGAAAATAGGAAACTATCTTAACTTTTTTTATCATGGGGCCAGATGACAAATTAGTCATCCATATATCTAACCAGCAATTTAAGGTATTACCTTTTTCAGGAAATGTTACTCAAGGCTTGACATATAATTGTTCGCCAAGATAGAAGCTAAGAAAGATCCCATCGCAGGTTAAGAAGTCTCCCTATGGACGCTACCTTAACCTTATTTCTTGTATGATCTCTGTATGTTTCTCCAGAGTTTGTACTAGAGCCTAAATATCTCCTTGCACAAGAATGTTTATGTACATAGAAACATCAAAACTTATTAATCCATTTTTATACAAAGTTATTTGCCGATCAGTTAATTTTACAAAGTCATAAGAATTTTTGAGAAGTAAAGTTAGGTTTCGAAGAATCTCTTGTTTCATAATTGTTGAGCTTATTTCCATTTCAAGTGAAAGTGTTTGGTGAAGAGATTCGAAGGTCGATTCTACGAGAAGGCGACAACGGATTCGTCTTGACCAGCTGTCGATTGGCTTTACTGGGAGATTCATGCTGACGCTGTTTACGAGGTAATCTCCTTCGATTCCGGTGAAAAGGTGCTAAGCTTTCGTCGGTCATATGGAAAACATCATCAGAGCAAGGTATCATCATCACAACGTAGTCCTACCATAACAAGTCATTGACTTGTTATTAGAGTAGAAAGAGGATAGACGCGGCGGAGACTAGGGCTATTTGGCTGACAGTAGGCCTGTTTTACCATAGACGTCAATATAACAAAGGCTTGACCATGAGACTTACTCAGAGGCTTTCGCATCGAATTAGTCACCCAGACTCAGGGGATAGGTCATAATGCCTCGAGTAGCACAGATCGGGTGGCTAGGGTCGAGTAAAATACTTGAACCAGGGAGATAGCGGTTGTAGCCTACGCAACAAGAGGGAGACGAGCATAATACCTAGGGTAGGAGGACTGGGTAACAATATGACAGACTCTGATCAACATTCCCAGCAGAAGGATGAAGGGGGATGAGAACGCCAGAGTTTAGTATGGAGGGCCGTCATGACAGCCGCTCACCATGCTAGATTTAAATAAGCAAGGAAAAATTGTGACCCGAGGATATAGGATAGATGAATAGCCTAGGACAGAAGGAGGGATACCACAAATGTTTAGCACACATTTGGTAAAAGGATCGACTTCACTTGTCTCTTTTGACGTGTTGTAGTATTGTGCTAGGAATGCGAAGACTCACTGACGATGCCGCCAAAACTTCTGGGAATGTACCACGTCCACGGTCCGACTTTGGAAATTATCATGCATACAATGGACTCCGGACTGGGTGTGTTCCTCTAAGTCTTCCTACCAATATGGACAAGTTGCGAAAACAAGGTCAAACAATTTCAATAGTGCTATTAATTGCACGCATGGAAGCGATATAATGGATGCAGAGAAGGAAAAGAGAGGCAATCAGGTCATCTATACGGTGTATTTCATAGTATAGCCAATGCGAGAAAAACACTACCATCAGATACATAAAGAAGCAATTCGACGTAATTCGAAGTCGAAACGAGCCAATTATCTTTGCTATGCGTAGTAAATAAAGTACTGTATACGTGAACTTGACGTCAGGGTCGTTAGTACACTGTTTTAGTTAGGATGCTGGGTGAAGCGGTCATCTTTACACGTAATTCCAGCCAACTTAGATATTTAGTAGATGCAAATATGTGTGATGTGCCCTTTTGAGCTGCTTTCATGATGTGTGAAGAAACGACGCACGGAGAAGTATGTTCTCATTCCGAGACTAATTGTGTCGCGGAGAGATCCAAAAGGCTATTCTTATTCAGGCAGTAGTGGACTGTAGTTTTGATTTCACTTAGGCCTCACCAGCAGCCCCACCTGCAGTGTATAATCTCGACATGTTAACCACTACACCATAATACCACGAGTGCTTTGAGTCACAGGGCAGATATAAATTTTACATGAGGCCAGTTATTTTCCCATCTCACATTCTGTGGTGGGATTGGAGATGAAGCAAATTCTATTTGCTACAGCAATTGACTACATTACTTATTTTTTGTTTTTAATAAGCTTATAGCCCTCTTATCAACCTAAACGAAATATAGTTAATACATTTCATATATATAATCTACTGGTAGTCTAGAAAACCTGCTTATAAGCGAAAAGTAAGTAATATAGTCATTTTTAATAGCAAATTTAACTTGCTTCATTGATAATCTCACCATAGAATATGCTATGGGAAAATGCCTAGCTTCTGTAAAATTCACATCTTTCCTGTGACCCAAGGGTACTCGTGGCAGTGTGGCGTAGTGGTCAACGTGTCGAGATTATACTCCAATATCATGGTCCGAGTCCCACTGGAGGCGCTAGGCGGGGTCGATACTGTAGTCCACTCCTGCCTGGATGAGGATGTCTTTTGGTAAAGGAAGGCTGGGCGAAATTTAATAGAAACCTAGGATTTACTCAGCATTGTGGGAAAATTTAACTAAGAGTCCTTCATCACCCTAAGCAAAATAAGGTGAATACATCTCACATACCGTACTTATCTTCGTCAACAAACAATCACAAACGTGCTTTGAAATACTTCATTCTGATGCAAAACCACTAGAATCTATCAGTTGGACATATCCAGAATTATTTCATTAGGTGCGGAGAAAACTTGGGTTTTGAGGAATCTCTTGTTTCATAATTGTTGTGATTACTTCCATTTCGAGTGAATGTTTAGTAGTCGATTCTCTCGACAGCTGGTTAAGAGGAATCCGCCGTCGTCTCCTGGTGGAATCGACCTTCGAATCTCTTCACCAAATATTTCCTTAGGGCCAACCAATACCAACTCTCTTAATCGTTTTTTTGGCCTACTCTGGAATGCATTATGCAAGAGTCAATTTATCTAATCTTGCCAAAAAATGGAAACCTACAATATCTTATTTTTTAGCTTTTATCAATATTGTTGCTTTGTCTCAATGGATTGTTATTTATGAAATTTAATATTCTTTTTCCCATCATTTTAATCGAAGACTATAAAATTTTCGTCTCGAATACTCATCATTTAGGTACCAATCTTGGCTTTTAGGCTTATAAACAAGACCATTCGAAATCATTTTCTAGTTATCTAAACTTGTCCAAAATGATCAGGTGTCCAGATGCTTTCACCTTGCCATATATGATCAGATTGGACGCTTGCCGACTGAAAGTCGCCTCTTATTTGCCATCATTCTTTTTGGCCTATCGATAGCTCATCATTTTATATGAAATTTCCCAGATTCCTTAATTTGAATGGGTTTTTATCATTTCCTTGTTCGATGACAGGGTGCACGGGCACTCTGGTGCTCCCAGAGACAGCATTTGTTAATGAGAGCGAGATGATAAAAGAATCTAATCCCGATTAATACCTGTACTGAGTCTTCCATTTAACCTAGTCTTACTTGTGGCTCAATCACAGGGGATTTGGATCATTCTTAAAATGTGACCTAGTGGTCACATGAAGTGGTAGAACTGCATTTTCACACTAATTATGCCAGTAGATCTACTCGGTCCCGGAGTGTCCGGGTCCACTACTAAATGTATAAAGCTTTTAAAATTTTAAATACTCTCCACCTTTTTCTTGTTTTTCAAAGAGTTTTGTTTTTTCTTGCATGCCCTCTTCAAATTTCTCAAGGGATAGTTCTATTTTACAAAATATTTCTTGGAAATCCTTTTTATATTCTAATAATAATTTACCTTTTAGGGTTCCCTTCGATTGTTATTGTTTGTGGCTTACGATTGGTTTTCCATTTTTTTGCTTTCTGGTTTGAACGTCCTCTTTCATGTTATTATTATTCTTTTACATAACTAGAATGCAAAATTTTTAAGTTCTTTTTCACTCTACAGATCAAATGCAAAATATTTTTCGAGTTATTGTGAGCAAGTCTTCATCTATAACTACTACAAGAGATATAACTATTTGGCTGCCTGCGAATTGTTGATTATCAAGATCTTGTACTAAATCTTCTATTCTTACCTTCAATCCATCCATTTCAGCAGTGGGTGTAATGGCAGGAGTTCACCCATTATCAATGTGTGCTTGTGTGCCAGCTGACCATGGAACCCGTATGATGCTGGGTTTAGTGCGTGGTCTTGTTTATTGGCGTCTCACAGCGCGTAATAGACCGCCCCGGACCATTACTGCTGTGGACCAATTCGGTGCTGTGGTGGCTACAAGCAATGGATTGGGAATCGAGGATGATGACATAGCTCTACTGGTATGACGAAATTAGGCCTTTTATGACTTCGGAATAGGCTTATAATTGCTCAGCCGGCTTTAAGTACATTTTAAAAAAAGTTGAGCTCTTCTAGCTCATCAATCAGATCATTACAATAGGATCTGATTTTTTATATTCTATTTGCGTCTATTTCGAAACTATAGATAAATCTTGAATAAGATCTTAAATCACCCTAGGTATCTTAAGACAGTTTAATAATTGATTTTTAAATTTTTGCCATCTAGCCATCTAGAAGGCCCAAAGACCTTATTTAGGCTTGTTACATGACTTCCCATTCTGACTGAAAAATTGGTTGGAAAGAATTCTCCAAATGGTTTTAACGGAAACCGAAGCATGCTCACTAAAACATCCAAAAAAAGGGAACGCTGATCTAAATCTGCCATATTATTCAGCAATCCTCTTCCCATAAATCCTATCAGAGTTTCCCTTTTGCTCCGTTGGATCCGTTTCCTATCTCCCTAGTTCAAGTATTCCACTTGACTCCTGCCACATCCGTGATACTCGAGATGTTATTTCTCATACTCGGCCTCAAGCCTTTGATGGCACGTATACTCCCGCCTCGCTTAGTAGGCCGACAACTTCTGGATTCTACAGCTGGATCAGGGACTAACTTGAGACTATAGATCCCGAGTAATTCTCATCGTCAAACCTTTACTTCCTGGGCCACGTCTACGATCAAACACGTCTACTGTTAGCCATCTCACTCTAGTCTCAGTCACATCTATCGTGTTTCTATCCTAAATGCCAAGTCTATGACTTCCTATGCCATAGTCTCTTGTATTCCAACCCACAAATGTGTGGTTCTACTTG